CCGCGCCCCCCACCCCCAGCAGCCCTTCACATGTGCCCCCACCAGCGTCTCCGCCGTCGCTGGGTGCGCCGGTGCCGGGGCCCGCCGGCGCCAGGGAGTCAGATACCTTTGGGCCGGCGGAGAGCGGCGAGCGCAGCCAGCGCGTGCGCAGCATCGTGCTCATGCTGTCGCGCTCCGAGTCGGAGGACAGCGGCAGCTCGCCGGTGCGGCCTCCACCACAGCCGCCTCCGCAGACGTCCACCATTCCGACACCGCCTCCACAGCAAACTCCACCGCAACCTCCGCCTGAGCCGCGGCCCACCCCGGCCACACCTGCCTCCGCGGCGTCGAGGCGCCTCCAATTCAGGAACAGCGGCAAGACCTTCATCAGGTAGGCTAGCTCTCCCGGGGACTAGGAGGAACTTGTGTGACCACGGAGCACCGAGTGATGCCTTTGAGTCCAACAGCGGTTCCACGTCAGCTGCGCCCTCCTCCTTGCCGTCCTCGGCGCGGCCCCGTACGGCGGGGACCTCCAGACCGTCCTCGTCGACCTCAGCGGCGCCCCCGCTCCAGCGGGCCCTATCTACCAGCAGCGCGGCTTGCCCTCCGAAGGGGATCCTCGTCAACCGGTGAGGAGTACCGGGCGTTGTTGCCGGACAAACAGACAAAAATGTTTTGACCAGGAAAGATCGATCAAGAAAAAACGGATACGTATGACTTTGACAAATTTGACTGAATCCGTTATGTCCCAGGAGTCGGCTGCAGAGCGCGAGCAGCGTGGACGTGCTGGACGTGGACACCACCCCCCGCGCGCTGGCCGGCGTCCTCGCCGCCGCCCTGGCCAGCGGGGCCGCAGGGGCGCCTGCAGTGGGCGCAGGGGCCGCGGCCTCGCCGGGGAGCCGCGTCAAGTCGGCGCCGCCGGCCCGGCCCGCGGCGCGCAAGCAGCTCAAGACGGCCGCGGCGCGGCGCGGGAGGCTGAGGAGCGGCGGACACTCGGACTCGTCCGACGAGAGCCACGACCGGGAGAAGGACAAGGACAGGGACAAGGACAAGGACAAGGATAAGGAAGACAAGAAGGGCAGCAGGAATGGCAGGCGCGGCGTGGCCAGGGTGAGTCGCGTCAGGTCCGAGGGGGTGTGGGGCGCGGGGCGCGGCGTGGCGTGACTGGCAGGCCTTGGCTGGAGCCTTGGCTAGAGCCTTGGCCGGGCCGGGGGCCGGGGGCCGGGCCGAGCTGTCAGGGTAAAGAGGAAACGAGAGGAAACTGGGCCGGGCCAGTCAATCACGGCGGACTCGACGCGTCCGAGGCAGAGCGCCGTAACTTGTTTGGCAACCTGAGGCAGTTGCGTGGATCTGATCGCCGAGCAGCGCGGGGGCCCCGTCGAGAGCATCGTGTGGCGGTGGCGCCCAGACCGAGGCCCGCGCGGCGCCGGGCCCATAGCTTGGCCCGGCCACTCAGTGGTTCGCATCGCGCGCTCGGCGCCAGATACCCGAGGCGCGCAAGTTGATCGGCGCGAGAAGCCCGACAATGCACTTGAGGGAGGGCACCCGCGAGAGTCCGTAGCGGCCATGGCGCTGCCGAGGTCCACTCGGCGGCGGAAGCGGAGGCAGCGGTCGGCGGGGCCGCGCGTATGTGTCGCGGAGGCTCATCTCGACGTCCGCCCCCGGCATGGCAGCCGCTCTTTATTTCCTCCTCTGATGACAGGCACCGGGCCGTGCGCCGTCGGAGGTGGTCACCATGGTGTCCCTGCTGAGCTCGTCCGACTCGGCACCCGAGTCTGACGCCGAGCAGGCTGACCCACAGCCGCATGCCAACCTCCAGGCGGATTTGGACCGCTACGCGGGCCTCGCCTCCCTGAGGGCCTCCTACGCTTCCGTGGCGGCCGGTGGTCAGGGCCAGGGCCCCGGGCAGGGAGCGGGGGTCGGTGCAGGAACGCCGACCACGCCCCAGGCGCTGCCGTCGCAACCTCCGAAGCCAAAGAGCGGTGAGTGTGAGCTGAGGGAGGAGGTGGAGGGCGCCGTGGAGGTAGGCCAGCCCGCTCGGCAGCTGCGCGCTGCCGCTGCCTACCCCGCCACGGTCGGGCGCTCGGGTCTTCGTCGACAGGAGGGCAAAGACTCTCGACTCCCCAACAGACTCGCGACGCTATTGGTTTGTTTCCTTTTTACAGTGTGGTTCCAGCCCAGCGAAATGCCTCTCCGACGGCTGGGCCCAGAGCTCAGCCAACCTCCGACCCTCGGGCAGAGCTTGGGCCTCGGCGCGCTGGGGGCCGGCCTGGGGCATTCCGGCCTCGGCTTCAACCTGGCACACGGCCTCGGCCTGGCCAGCGAGAAGCGGGCGCCCTCCGTAGAGGCCAGGACGGCGAAGCGGCGGCTCACCCGCGCGCTGAGCGAGCCGGTGGGACCAGCGGGGTGAGCATCGCGGACAATAACCCACTTCCCGCCTGGGTCTCGGCTCAACTCGGCTGACAGCTCGCGGTCGTGGGTCGGGCGGGGTCGCCCCCCCCCAGCAGTCCCGCCCCCGCCAAGCAGCTTGACGAGTCTGAAGCCGACGCACACGAAGCTTAAAATTGCCCGATACCGCATGTATCGACAGGGAGTGAACGAGCGGGAAAGGGGGGAAGCCACGAGATACGTAAGAAAAGAAGCGGTAATGGTCGGGACTATGGGGCGTGGAGTCCCGCTAACTATCGCCACTGACCCCACAGGCGCCTGGGGGCTGCCCCGGGGTCCCGCCCCACCCCCCGCCAGGGCGTTATTCTCGTGCCAGGCAGCAGTTTGATTGGAACAGGGGGCCATGAGAGGCTTTGCCTTTGGCCCGCGATAAAGTTGTTCTCCAGTGGTCGGATGCACCGGCTGCACCCCGCCCTCCCCACCACGGGCCCCACCCCACACCGTGGCGTGAAGCAGTATTGATGGCCTCCAGCCGTTGGCCTGCGTGTGCAGCAGCGTGTGGCCGCCCGGGCCGCGGGCCAGGCCCCGGCCGACCACATGACGCCCCCGCAAGCACTGCCTGGCAGGGCGGGGGCGAGGCCCCGGGTGGAGCTCGATGAACCGGGGCGCGATGTGGGGTGGGGTGTTTGGGACCGCCGCTTCTCCGCCCAGAACAATGAGCATTGTGTCTCCTCTCCAGGTTGGACGCGGGTGCGCTCGGTGCGGCCCCGACCGGCCTGCAGATCCCCCTCAGCCTGCTGCTCCGCGCCACCGAGTCCGCCAGCAGCGCCTCGGCGGACCGCGCCAACGGTGGCAGCGCGGCCGCCACCAGGACCACCGCCGACAAGGCCCCCGCCCCGGCCTCGCAGGACGAGGACCGGGAGGAGGACGACGGCGAGGAGTCCGACGCGGAGCCCACCTTCAGCACGCCAAAAGAGCGAGAGTGCTGGGAGCTTTTCAAGAAGATGAGCGACAAAGGGATCACCGTGTCGTACGACACCGTCCTCAGGTACGGTCCCGTGCAACCCCAACCCCCTCGGGGCTCGGCACGGCAGAGGATCTGCTAGACAACCTCAAAGTTTTCAAATTAAGTTGCTCCACTTCCACTACATCCGGTCGGCTCCATCCCCCTCCTCTGCCTTCCTCCCCACCGGAGAGGTGAATCACAGCCAATCTAGGGCCGGCAGAAACTAGGGCGGTCGCCTCTGCACTAGCGACTGCAAAATTAGTTTTTTCGTAGAATGCGAAGTGATTTCTCAGTATGGGAAAGCATCGACCGAGGCATCGACCCAGATTTATGGGAAGCGTGATGGATAAGCCGCTGTCTTTCCCGCAGGGGCATGCTGACGCCTACCGAGTATCGGATGCGAAGGAATTCCCTTCTGTCCAGCTGTTAAGCACCACCATGGGCCAACTTCAGTTGTGCGCTGGCGCACAACGGTCACCAGACTTTTAGTTGTAAGCACTTACTTCAAAAGTGACAATTAAATAAATAAAATTGTTGCAAGGCATTAAAAATAAAAACAGAGAGAAACATAATCATTCAAAATAACAGGTAGTTTGCAATAAAAGTAAAAATGATAAATTGTTTTTTTATCATATTTATTTTAACAAAGAAGACAGTCATGGTCCTCATCACAACGAAAACACTCTCTAAGTACAAATTGATTTCACAGAACATGGCAAATAGTTTAGGTACAGTATCAAAGTTTGAAGTAATATAGTCACACCACATGAATAATATTCAGTCAATATTGGTCTCTGGGAATCATTCATATTAGCAGTTGTATAATGATCAACCATATCACCTCAGAAATTTCAAGTATTCAGAGAGATAAATGGGTTTGTGTTTAGCACATTTACAGATAGAAGATTGAGCACTTATATTAAAAGACAAAATTGAGAAGATTTTGTAAAATACATATCAGCAAAAATGGACTAGCGGGAGGAAGACAAAATCATAACAGTCTTCATTGTTATAGTTGATTTAAACCCAGTCACTTTATAATCTGAAAAGCACAAAAGGAAATCAATAACAGCCAGAACAAGTTTTTAGTTAAATTGCAGTAAATACTACGTATAGAAACATGTAGAGGAAGTGGTATACCTTTGTAACCAATCCTGCTGCAATAGTAACACCACCAACACGTAACATGACTCGTCCCAATTCCTTAATATCACCATAAAGTTCCAAGCAAATTGGTCGAGAAACTTCAAGCTCAACTAAAGCAATTGTGTTTCCAGTCAAACAACGGGGTTTTTGCTTAATAATGGCTCCAGTGCTTTTGTGGAGTTGGGCAACCAGTTTACTAACAACTGCCTGTTCAACAAGTGACTGGTGATGCATCACAACCTAAAATTGAATAAATTTAAATTAGTTGTTCAGCAACAATCCTTTTTGCATACTATGTAAAGTTAATAGTACATTTTTCACTTACTGAGTATCCTTTAGTAATGGGGACTTTAAGTTGGAATATAACAATACGTGCTTGATAACGAGAGGTAATAGGTATTGGTCGTTGAGGATCACAGAGTATATAGCCCACAGATATATTTTGCTGGTCTAGACCAGAAATTGTAGCACTTACACAATCTCCAGCAAATGCAACTTGGATAGGCATGTCATCAACCAAAAGTGCTGGAAAGAATATAGGTAAGTATTTTCTTTTAGATAAAATATATTCAAAGAAGTAAGAAGAAAGAGGAAGAAAACTATCCACAGAACATTTAAAAAATAAATTAGAATAAACCTTTGATAAATGCTGTTTCACCAAGGGGAGAAACAAGAACTCTGTCTCCTGGTTGGACCATCCCAGTCTCAATTCTCCCAGAAACACAAAATCCTGCTCCCATGCCCTTAAATATGTCATTTATTGACATTCGGAATGGTTTAGTTATTGGCCTCTCTGGCGTTTTAAAACCGTCTGGGGAAAAAGGAAGTAAATATTTATTGCTGGAGGATAGAATGATTCTATACGACAGTAAGATATAAACTGTGCAGTAGGAAAGTACCTATGACTTCCAATAAACATGGACCAGTATACCATGATGTAAGTTCAGCAGCAGTGGGTTTTACAACCATATTTTCACCTGTCAGCCCACTACAGGGTACATAGGTAACATCTGATTCCTTGAAACCCGCTTGGCGTAGAAAAGCGGACAGCTTTGCAGTTATCTCCTCAAATCTTTCCTGTGACCACCCCACTGTGTCAAGTTTGTTTACCACAACCCCAAGCTGACTCACACCTTAAATCAAATCAGATTAGATTAGATTACATTGTTAGATAAAATATGAAAAAGTCAAATCTTAACAACACCTACCCAGGGAGCGAACCAGCAGAGCGTGCTCACGGGTTTGTCCACCACTCTCAAAACCAGTTTCAAATTCCCCTCTAGTTGCATCAACAACAAGAAGTGCTACATCAGCCTGCGTGGCACCAGTAATCATATTTGGGATAAAATCCTTGTGGCCAGGAGCATCCAAAAGGGTAACAGATTTTGAATTTGTTTCAAACTTAGATTGACCAACATCCATAGTAATTCCTCTTTATGTAAAATAAAAGGTGTGGTAAATTGAACTTGAGATAAAACATCACCGTACATATAAGTGAGGAGGTTGAACATACCTTTCCTCGCCAGTTTCATCCAGGATCCATGCATAAACAAATGACTGTTTTCCCAACTTTTTGCTCTCCTGCTCATATTTGTGCATAGTTTTCTTTGATACCTGTCCCATCTCTAACAGCATACGTCCCATTAGGGTACTTTTACCTGCATCGACATGCCCAATCACAACCATGTGCAGCTGCTCTTTATTGTCACCTCTGTCACTCTTGTACTTCGCCAAAATGTCTTCCTTTGACACTCGAGGTCTTGAAAAAAAGACAGAAATTAGACCAGGGATAAAAGGGAAGGGTAAGAGGTATGACAGCACATTGAAGCAAACCTGGCTCGTATTTCCCGTGGAGTTCCGTCACCCTCTCCTAGTTCACCCATACTTGGAGTATTCCGACCTGACGGTGTTCCGCGTCCGGACGCAGGGGACTGAGTGCGCGGTGTTGAGAAGGCAGGTCGTAATCCCTCTCCAGAATCTGCAAGGAACATTACAAACAGTTAAATTTTGTGTGTTGAACTAGAAAGCAGCCATGGTACAGTGTAAAACCAACCATTTTCTTGTTTCACTGACAGCACTTCAAATCCCTTTGTAACATTAACAGTCTTGGCACCGGGGGGAACAATCTTCACTGGAGGCTGCACCTTCTCCGCTGAGGTGAAGGCATCTGGTTTTGATGTTACTATAGCCACTGGGTCTTCTGTTTTTTGAGGCTTACCTGCTGGATTATAAAATGAAAATGAAAGATACAACCATCTTCCCTCCTGATTTAACAAAAGAGTACAAACCCAATTTTAGATAAATGAGAATTGTCAATGGACAGAAAGGGTAGGTAACTACAATTTTTTTTTTGAAAACTATTTCAAGATTGTCTTTGGATTTATTAAAAATAATTGGTCCAACAAGTCAACACTGTACCATAAATATAAAAAATTTCCTCAGAGAAAATTAATTTGTTAAAAACTGGTGGAGGCTGTCAGAATACAAGCACTCACCAGTCACATAATAAAACATAAGACCAATCAAAAATTAATAACTATAATAATAAAACCTACTTTCAGCAAATTTCATGCACAGTCATGGACAAACAAAAAAATGCAAAAGAGAAAGACAATGTTAATGTTGTAAATCATTTGACAACAATAGGACAAAATAGAAATTCATCATGAAAATACTGTAAGTCTATAAAACCAGCTGAGGTGGATACACAAGGACACCATGTTAAATTTTAACCGTTCAAGCTACCTTCACCAGACATTCAAAAAGGATAAATATAACTATTTACACAAATTTCTAATTTCATTTTTCAAGATATTTTAAGCTGTACAATTGAGCAAAACAAGACCTGGAAAAAGCAAACATTAAAGACGTCTAAGATGTTTTTGTATGACTGAATCAGGAGACGGAGTATTGAATCCAAATGGAACAATGTCACCCATAAAAGGACTGCTTGGGCGTACATAAGGGGACTTCCGAACAGCTCCTCTTCTGCATAATATACGTCCTACAGGAGATGAGGCAGTTAGTTCCAAAGGTAAACTCATAAGCAGGAAAGATCTTGCATCCAATATGCAGGTTCTATCCTGTATCCATGGCCTTGACTCATCACATCCTATGCCATCATTTCCCCCAAAATTGTCTGCATCTAATCTGGACCTGGGCCTCTCAAGCTGCTTCCGAGTATCAGGAGGGTTAAGCGCATCCAACAGGTCAATAACAAATCCATCATTATTCCTGTTATTTTCATCTATGACATCACAATCCATATCAAAATTATCTATAGTTCTTTCCAAGCTATTTGGAGAAAGAAAAGACTTTGGTAGAACTTTTAGAGTTGGTATTAAAAATTCTGACTTGGGGGATGGATTTAAATTGCTCCCTTTTAAATGAAAGTCTGCAAGAGCTGAGAGACTAGTGTGCTCAGGAGTAGATTTTGTGGAAGCATGCTGAGCCATAAGAGCAGATAATGTGGATCCTTCTTCATCACTTTCCTCCTCAGAACCAGTTGCAGATACTTTCTTAAACAGTTGAGGAATTGTGGTGAACATTTGAGGGTGGGGTGGAATACTAAGTGATTTAGACTTTGGTACAGTTTTGAAGCAATCTGAAGTAGTTTGGGGAAATGTAGTCGTATTGAGACTGGAAGTTTTAGCAGCATGAAGAGACATTAAAGTTGAGAGAGATGAGCACTCATCGTCATCATCATCAATACTTGATTGTGGCACCTTACAGGACAGAGGTGGTATGACTTTTTTGAGTGTCGGTAGGTTTAGTGACTTCAGTCCTGAGGTACTAGTTGAATCAAAATTGTTCTGAGAGGTTTTACTAGCAAGCCCTGTACTTTTAAAGTTGATCAGACTTTCACTAGAGGGAGTAGACATATCTTTTGAAATTGCATGAATATTTTCCTTGTCAGCTTCCATGGTAGGCTTGAAAAGTTTGGGAATTTTAAAAATCTGTTTGGAACCCCCTTTATCAAGATCAAGAGCGCTGATGCCCGCCTTCAAACTGGACAGAGCAGCTGCATTGTCATCTTACCTTGCACATGAAGAGATGGCAACAGAAGAAAAACGCCAAACAATAGATATGAAAGGGGAAGAAAGAAAAAAAAGGAACATGTTACTTTTAAGAGGCAAAAAATAATTTAAAAGTTGAGGACAAACTACTTGAAAATGGAATTCACCTGTGGTTGGATGAACTCTTGGTTCTCTCTGAGGCAGTGGGGTCTCTAGATTGCAGAACGAAAAAATAAAAATAATAATTTTTTAGTTAGATTATACATAATATCATGAGGAGTGACTAGATGGGAAGTATAATATACCTTGCTTCTTTATTTTTGATGGAGGTCTGTTTGATTTTTCTGCAGCATTTGATAGAGCAGCATCTAATGACTTGGCCACATCAAAGTCATTTGAAAGAATGATGTCTGCAAGGGAAGCCTCTGACATAGAATCTCCAATCACATCACGTATTTCATCTAAACACGACCTTAACCTAGCTTCATCCAATTCACTTAAATTTCTGGTCTGTAAAATTGGTAATGTTGAATAGGGTTGGAATTAAAACAATTACTCGTAAGAAAGGATTTTAGTTTTGCGAGGTACAACAACTTACACGGAGCCCCAAGGTATCAGAGTCTCTCCTTTTAGGGCATTCAGTTCCTCCTTCCTCAGCGTCTTCATCGTCTTCGGCAATGTCTTCATCTCCGGCCAGAAATGCTGACATCTGAGCCTTTTCCGTGTTTCTATCAAAAACATATTTAGCTGAAAAATGATAGGAGAAGAAAAGGAATGGAAGTATGAATAATTTGCTGTCAATTTTCATAGATTCAAATAAAACACTTTAGAAAAATTACCATCACTCGGGGAGATGCTGTAATCGTCTTCGACAGAGTGTCCATAAACATCATCGTAGCCGTCATACTCTGCAATAGAATGGCAAAATATTAAATTGTACATCCTGAAAAATAATCGAAGAATAAGAAGAACCAGATATATAACTTTACAAGCACACAAAGAAAAATAAAGTTTCACGTAAGTTTCAGGACTAAGATGTATAGTCCATCAGGTTATGCCCATTGTCCAAAGTTAGAAATCTTAACAAATACTAGCTCCGAAAAAAAAGTTGACACTTGATATTTTTATTAATCTTTGTGGTTTACAGAAAATCTGGCATAAGGTTAACAATAACAAGACAAAGGGAATATTACAAACCATCAGCATAGTTCATAGACCTCACATTCCTGTGTCTCGCCATGTTACTTGAGTAAAAATGCAAAAAATTTAGATCACTGGAGAATCAATTATCATGGACCTTATGGCATGTTCAAATCTTAATCGAACTGTAGAGGTCACGTCATGACAACAGACTCAAAACAAGTAAAGTAGACAATTTGATGATTGAATCTAACGCATCAGTTCGACGTTCAACAGACCAATCAGAAGGCCAAGTCAAAAACAATCGAAAACCGCGGGTGAGAAAACACCAACCCTTTGGAAGTACAATTTTGGGTTCTGAGGACTTTAAAAAAATATGTTTTGCAGTAAAGGAGACTATATTGAACGCTTTAGTTCTGTTTAATGTAGTTTCATATAAATTCCAAATATATCAACAGGTTTATCGTCATGAAATGAGATACAACATAAGTTTTAAGTCATTCTGTTAAGTTTCCATCAGTAGGTGACGAGCCGGGCTCATGTTTTGAAAACTTCCATCCGTCACGAGGGTCACCGAGGGTCTTTGTTTTATGGTGTCTTAGTCATTTATTTGAATTAACGAGGCTTCACGATGACTGGTGCTGATGATGAAATGTTCAACACAGTTCAGCGGTACAAGATTTTGGCTGAAAACAAAGAAAATCAAGCAGCAATGATAAAGGTGCGAGATGTGAAACGAACGGATGGGACTGCATCCCTTTGTGATGTTTTCTCTCATATTTATTCGTTATAAATACTAACCATTTCGATATCGTTCTCGTTTTTGCCTGTTATCGCACTATTATTTACTACATGCCATGAGTTTGCATTTAATCTGTTTTCTCGGGAGCTGAACATAAGCACCCATAACCTCACCAGTTTCCTGATGAAATACCAATCTTAAATTAGTTTGTGTATTGTTTTTTATGTCTGTTTCAGGATTCTGCTGTTGTCCAGTTCTTGGTATATGTTTTAGAAGGAACCTCAATTGCTGTGAGAGATACCGCCATGTCAACTTTGGAGCTGCTCGGAGAGAACATAAAACTTCGCCCCACCCTAAGAAAGACATTTGGTGTCATGGAGTCCTTAGAAGCCATCGCCAGCAGGTAAAATATTTAGTAGTTACTTTTACTATTTGTACAGATTCTTTTAATTTAAAAAAATACTGTGTCATTTCTCGATCTATCTACCAGTTCTGCTCCTGAAGAGGTAAATTTAGCAGAACGAGCCAGAAAACTTCACAGCAAACTTGAACAGTCGAATAATGTTGTGTGGGAGGTTCCTAAAGAAGTACTTCTGCGCATCCCAGAATTATCTTCAGTATGTTTTGCCTCTTTTTCCTTTAGTACTTAAATTTAAAATTTTGAGTCCTCATAATGATGTTATGTTTCTTTCTGCAGGAGGATTGCACAGAAATTTGGCAAGCATTATCATCAGTGCGGGGTGTTGTCTCTTGTCAGTTCAATCTTGAACTTCAAACATGCACCTTAACGGTTTTTAGTAGTATGAACCCACAATCTTTGGTGCAAATCCTTTCCAACCAGTGTAGTTTGGATGCTGAGGTGGTCAAGCCTGGCTCTCAGGTAACTTCCACTATATTACTTTGAAAGCAGAATTTAATACTGAAAATGTAGAGTGCATAGGAATGTGGAGATATTAATGTTTTACTCATGTTTTCAAAATAGGTAAGCTCTCAGGATTCTGTCCCAGACCTCCCTGCATACCTGCCTGAAGAAGACTCACCTGTGGTGCAAAAGAAGGCTGTAGCAAGACGAAGGCCTAAACGAAGGGAGAGCAGCTGGTTCACAAGAGCTGCTAGTGTTATTGTTGATTCATTCTTTTGGTGAATTGACTTTGGCATGACAATTCATGTCTTGCTTTGAAATTTTAGCTTTTGACTTGTGCAAGCATTTGAGGTTTTGATTTTGTAACAGACCCGGTGACAATTTCATTTCACCTTGTGATTGCCTTTTCCTCTTGCACTTTGTGGCAGTTGTCCTCTTCTTTTGCAATGTTTTCCTGGTTGTTATTAATACATTTCTTTAATGTAGCTTAAGACATGAAAGCTTGCTGTGAGGGAATGAAAAAGTAGACTGATAGTTTTAATTCACTTGTAAATTTTGAGCAAACTCATCACACTTATTTATTTGACACCAAGGAAAATTCTGATTTTCACTTAAAGGAACTGTGAAAGTATTATTGCTAGGAGGGTGACAACTTTTTAAAATCTAATGCCCTACTTGGTCCCTTGAAGTCCTGTGGTTCCATAAATTATTTTATCAGAGAAAAAAAACGTTAACGCTAACGCTAACGTGAAAGCAGATGACTTCTGGCGATTGGCGTTGAGTTTTTACTCTCAACTCTGGGCGCGGCAGAGGCGGTGAGGCGCGACGGGGCACAGGGACAGCTAGGCGTGGC